TGGCCGATTGGATGAGAGAACACCATCCAGCTTGGCTCAGTCGGAAACCGATAAAGGTAGATGTGAGTGCAGTTGCTGTACACCTGGCCGAGCCGGGTGATACCGTGGATGTGCGGGAATAGTTCCGTCCGATCTATTTACTGACAGGGACCCGGTCTAAGGAGGTGAAAACTCTATTGTTATCTACAGCAGAGACGATACCAATTAGAATAAACAACCCCCCCCCATTATGTGCACACAAACAGTTCGTTAAATCCCTTTCCCGCCCATGGACGAGTCCGAAGTGCCCCCACCTAACACTTCAGTCGAATATTCACACTATAAGAGATTATCACCAATTATGCGGTCAGTGTTGCAACATCTCCCTCCCTCCCAACCTGTCAAATCCCATTTTGCACATACTAAAACATTGATTTTACTATCACCTCGTGTTAATTCCATGAGTTACATAATGTGTTGTAATTGTCCAGTTGATAAAGCATGAAACCAATGAGATTCAGTGAGCCATGACTGATTGTTAAAGAAAATGCATTTCCGTGGACACGCGAGGATGATGAACACGATTATGACCATTAATCTACAAACAACCGATTCAGATACTTACTATTAAATACAGTAGGATCAAAGAATGAAGAGCAACGAACACATAAAGCTCAGAGGTGAAAAAGTGATTGGTCTACTGGGTTGCTTTTAACGCAACAAGAATGGAATAGATAAACAAGAGGCAGCAACATTTACCTTCATTCGAACATAAATCAGATGTGAGAGTGAATCCATGAGAGCAGTACGTTCCTCATCGTTGTAACCCTCTTCCTTCAAACGTGTGTTGTGCTGTTCCAGAGCGACCTATATCAAAACAAAGCAGCTCATCGTAAAAAAGAAAGAATACATAGGTAGACAAAAATATACGCGAGAGGGAAGTGCTGACCACCCTGGATTGATGCTATCAAGAGTAGTTAGTGAGCAGTGCAGATAAATCACGACATTCACTAACGGGAAAACAAAACACCGAAGTACAACTCAACCTATGAAAGGAAATTGGTTGTGATAATGTGGTTCAAAAGTGGCATAATGATGATATGGAGAATCATCGTTCACAAAAAGAGATCTGATTTGGTTGTTGTCCGACTCACTATGACACACACGAATGAAAATTTCTACGCCTGCGTAATTAATGTCTCGAGACAGAGGAAACTGAATTCCATTTCGCCTGTTCGCTGAGCTTGGCAATTTGTTCGCAAACGTTTCATCACCAGCCGAGGTGACATCATCAGTGCTTGTGAAGTGGCACTGATCTGTACAGTTGCAAAGTAGGCTCCCATGAATATTACAGTATGGATGTTATTTGGAATTATTCATATTTCGGCCGCGCTAATCGTTTTTCCATCATCGGATCATTCACTAAATAACCATCACTGTCTGTGGTATTCGCATGAACTTTTACCTTGGTTGCCAAGGCGACTGTTGCGCGACTACACTAACGACTAATTTGGTCAAATACACCGGGAATTTCATACATTCAATTAAATGGAACAAATATGTAGCTACCACCTGTTTTTGGGAGAACAGTAAGGAATGAAACCCAAAGGACAGTCAGGAAGGGTTTGAAGTCCCGACCCAAATATTCGCGGTTCAAATCCTGACAGGGACACAAAAAGTACGCACTGCTGACGAGTCCCAAACAGGACCAAACAGCTGTCCAGTGCTCTTTGTCGGCTATCACAAACATTTTCACCGCAGTTAGACGATCAGGAGGCTTTCAAACAATCCGAGGAAGCATCGACGCGGTTGAAGAACTGCTCTTTGGAAACAAATCATCTTCCGTTTGTGTCCCCGCCATTCTCAGTAGTAACGTTCGATCGCTCGTGGGCGATTTCACCAACTTGGGCAAACTATGTGAATACTCCCAGCTAGGTGGGATCATGCTTCAAGGAAGCCGGCTTCACAACGAAAATGAGGATAAAATAATATACCTACCTAGCTAGCTATCGTGTCGATCGTCCTGTTCCTTATTCCAAACGGGGTGGTGGTGTCATGACATTTGCCAAAAATCACTGGTGTCATCGGACCACAAATGTGTTCTCTTATTCTAAACTTTATATAAATGCATCAGCACTTTAATGTAGGCCCAAACATTTCAATTTTTTTCGGTCACTCATTCTTGCAAATGCACATATTGCCCCTCTGACTAATCTAATGTTCTTAATGATTTTATGACACTCAACGACGTTGATTCAATATGAAGATATTTCCGTTTGTATTAGTCGTGGTGACTTCAATAATTCTGAAGTTAGAGGGGACACATTTTCATGCTGGGTCAAAGGGTCATTCGGGATGAGAAGATGAGAAGGTAGGGGTAAGCTCTATGTGTCTGTGTTCGGGTGAGACTGATTGCGATTGGAGTGGTGGTGATGTTGAAGATCAATTTGGGGCCAGGGTAAGTGGAGAGCTTGAACCAGTCGCTTTTGTGCACAGTTCTGGTGCGAATAGGCGGATGCCTATCGCCTCAGCGGTGGCTAGTGTATGTAAGCGCACTGCTTTAGAGGGGTTGGGGGGCCCACGATAGATTACGTTGAAAGCCGATTCCGGTCTAATTTGATGGCCTGTATATACTAGATGACCAAGAATGGCACTTCCTATGCTTCCTGTTCCTCCTTGTTTTAACCAACGTGGGCAGTGCTTCTTCATCCGTTGGGATAGTTGCCTCGCCGTGCGGCCGATGTACGTTGCATAACGAACGCACCGGAAAGAGTAGATAACCATGGAAGTGGCCAGCGTAGGCAGTCTATCTTTGTGTCTAGTTCGGATGATGGGCGAGCCTATGACCATAAACGATAAACGAGCTGCATTGTAGGTCCGCTTCACTGTACGCGTCAGACGTTTGTTCAAGATGTCTGATATAGCATCTCTTTGAAAAGGTAGACGAATGAATAGCTTTTTCTTTTGGGCCTCATGAACTTGTTCGGATTGTCACCTTTCCTGGAAGTTCCTCTCAATGGACCGTTCAGGATAACCATTTTCTCTGAGGACGTCCTTAATTTTTGTTAGTTTCACATCTATCACATTGTCAGAGCAGATCTTTCGCGCTCGTGATGTGAGACTCTCGATTAAATTTCATTCCTGTCTGAGTGGGACGAAGCTGTAAGTGTCCCGTCCAAGTTGGTTTTCTATATATTCGACGTTCTAGAGAAACATCGTCTCTTCGGAGAAGTACCACGTCTAGGAAATCGTGAATAGCTTCAAATTCTGACGTTCCTTGAAATATTGTCACTTTCCCATCAAATTCGAAGGGCTTGGGTTTTGTCAACCTTCCTAATTTACTTCTAGTAGAACGCCGCCCCCCACCCCCCATAGCGGATGTCTTATCACTCCGTGTTGAGGTTTTCCCTTACTATCTTCAGCAGAACGAACCATCGTCCCTTTACTCGAACTCGTGATCATAAGCTTCAAATAAAACGGTGTTCTCCAAAAAACCTAATGAGATTAAGCAAAGCGATCAGGCCCTGCGAACATACCTTGTTTTTCTATTCCAAACCTTGCGTTTTCTGTGATCACCGAACAAGTTAATTACTTTTCTTACGATGTGTATTGTCCCTCAGAAGCAATTTATATTTGCCACGATCGATTCTCGTCCTCACATCTAAAACTCCGTGCCTTCAGAATGCATAAGTGCAACGAGGTGTGCCCTCTTTCTAGTTCCATCAGGGTTGAACTTCGTAGACTCAACTCTTCGTACGCCCGTGCTCGGCTTGACAACAAAAGCAGTCGTGAGACTTGGCAAGCCCTTATGCGAATTTCTGGCATCAAATTGTCACCGCGCCCCTACTGCTGTGGCCATAGAGGGTCTGAATCAGAGCGTTATCAACACTGGAATCACTCTCACTGCTCTGCCCAATGGATATGAAAAATAAACATGACCGATCCTGTCGCCAGCGTTGCAACTGCCGAAATATATGAAGAAGTGGCCCGATTAAATCCTTGCCAGTCCAGCGGCCCTGATGGAGTCTCACTCGTTGTCCTAAAAGACTGTGCTGCCTTCCTTTCGTTTGCACTGTATGAACTTTTCAATAATTGTATTTCGCAGCACCATAGTCCTAACTGCTGGA